GAAATTTACACTGAACAAGAATTTATACGACGTATAATGGTTTATAGGGTATAAAATTAACAATAATTATCAGAGGAATAAAAATATATGAGACGAAACGATATTATATTTATAATATTCTGCAAATAATAGGATGATACAAAACAAGTAAAGACATCGTAATGTTATGTCGGTCCGACCTTCTTATTCTAATGGCCTCCACAATGAGATGCTCATTAAAAATACCATTACAAAACATGAAGCTACATAGTAAGTCCTGCCAAGAGAGTATAAAAACTCTGAGAAAATGAGTTTCAAAATTTTGGAAAATTTGTCTAGGTCCATTAATACACCGAATATGGGGTGGGACAGTTGTCACGACAGTTGTCACGAATTGCAATTTTTATATCCAACAATAACCCGGAATGCCAAAATACCTAAAATTAGGCGTAACTTGCGCAACACTTTGATTAGAAAAGTCGACGAGGACATCAAGTAACATAAAATGTGACGGGATCTTTATATGAGGCCCATGTCAAAACATGGGCCATATTAATAATTTTCCCGTCATAAACCCTCAATCCCCAATTTTAGCTCCTTTGGTTGAAATATTAGTCCTTTATGTTGAAAATGGTTTAAGTCCATGTTTGGTTCTGATACAAATTTTGGGTTTCTAAGCCGAATTTCAGCTCCTTTGGTTGAAATATGAGTTGTTTATTTTGAAAGTGGTTTAAGTCCATTTTAGGTTCTGATACAAATCTTGGTTTTCTAAAAAGTTTTAAAAAAATATTAAGCTATGTTAAAGGGCACAAAGCCACTTAACAATATTTTTTGAAACAAATCAAAACCAAATTTTTATATATCTCAAATAGGACAAAATAGATTTAAACCACTTTAAAAATAAAGGACTTAAATGCCACTAAAACATTAAAAATGCTGAAAATGAGGTTGTACCATGTGCCTTTTGCTATTTTCAATATGAAACCTACTCTATCATATGATGGAGGGTATAAAAATTCCTCCGAACATATTCCATTTGTTACGAGTAACGAGCAAAAAATTGTCCGCTATTACCCGACTAGAAATCGTCAAAGAATGGCATTATTGTTTACAATGCAGTTTTATTGCATAGACAAACGAAGTGCTCAATTAAATTTCAATATTGCCGCTGACGCTGATGTTGAATGGACACAAATGTGTTTTAATTATTTTTGATTTGTTTTTAAAACGTCGATGAAGACAATAGAGAAAAAAATTAAATAATTCCATTTGATTATTGTTAATAAATCACGACAAAGCATGCTATTTTATTAAGAATGTTAGGTGGCGTTTATTTAATTCGATAGTTTTGTTTTTATATCAACAACACACAAGATGTAGTCGCCGAAACAATTGTTAGATTAATATAAAAATATTTAGACGTGATTCATTCACGTGATTATATAAAAAATTATAGTTTAGAATGACTAAGATTTAATTTACGTATTTTAACAGAACTATGACAGTTGTCACAGACATTGTAAAAAAGCAGGAAAAAAAATGAACGAAATGGATTAGGAAATGGCATCGATAGATTTTTTACTGAGTAAAATTACTAAAAGATGTGTAAAAAAATTAAGTTTATAAAATATGAAAAAGGAGCACCAAATATATAGTTGGAGATAGGGTATATCCCCATATATATAACGATGCCCTATAGCAATTATTTATTATATTTTTATTACATTTAAGTTATATTTTCCATTGGTTATTTTCCATTCCTCAGAATATCATATTTTTATTTAATATAGTTTAAATATGTATACACATAAATGTCAAATACATCATAGTTATTGACAGTCCATCACAGAAAACATACCCGGCAAGTGTGCAAGCAGCTCTCAGAAATTATTCGTATCCATAAATATAATTCGCAAACTGTCTATCGGTAGCTGTAGCTGTTTGTTGCTTCCGTAAGAAACAATTGAGTTTAGGAGGTGGGTGACCAACCATTGCGAACCTCACCACACCACACCTTTGGTAAATAACTGTTGTTGTTTATAGAGCTGACAATCACATCATTCAATAGTGAGTTATTGCTTTGGGTGAGGACGAGCAAATGAAGACAGAAAACCCGATAATACAATATCAATAACCAACCTCAATTTGGATTATTTTGCGATAAAGAATATTGGAATACTGGAAATGAAAATCATAAATATATATATTTGCAATATATTGTATGTAAGTACGCGTAAGTGTACGTATACGTACCATTGTAAACAATGGACAGTACTAAGAAAATGGGTATGGGAAATTTTCTCAAATCCTTGCAGTAGAAAGTAGGTCAAGAATATTATTTTCAATGTAAATATTTTTTTTATGCATAACATACACACATCCATAGATAATATGTGATTGATTATGCAGACGGTGCCAAATGTCTTAAATATAAGTGTCAAATTGTATACTGAACATGTTGTAAAAAAACCTTAGGAGAAAAGTCAGAAGTTGTGTTGCTGCAAAATAAAATTTAGTTTGTACAAATGATAAAAAGAAGAAGAGGATGAAATACACTACAATGTTTGTCGAAATCACAATGGAGCTTTGAAATTTTTCGTATACATAAAACGAAATTTGTCACACAGTGTTGTTCAATCCCTCAAATATTAATATTATTTTATATTCCAAAATTTGAAATTTTAAGTGTTAATAAAAAAAATTTATTACAATTTTAAACCCCCTTTTAAGAAGGCGATGTACTGCATTGTCAGTTTTTTTTAGCTTTTGTTAATAACTTAATAGCTAATTTGTTTACCGGCTTTACAGTATTTTTTATAGTAAAATATTTACTTTGTATTCATTTCGACCCCTTTCACCATTTTCTGTCCTGAGAGATGTACGAATGAATGTAAATATCATTAAAGCATATTTGTTGAATTTAAATAAAAAAATAAAAAAAAACATCGAGAATAGCCATAATGATTTTCAAATAGAAGACGCAAAAAAGAAGAAATAAATAACAACCAAGTAAACAGATGTCGACCACTGGCGGGCACGCATTTTGACATTGATCACTGTCAAGGTTTGTGGGGCAAAATTGTAATAACAAAGTGACTGCCACGTGCGTGTTCGTGTGTGTGAGGAATACGATAAGTGTGGATGTCTGTATGATGATGATCTTGTTTATGGTAATCGGCAAAGAGATGAGTGGGAATTTTAATAAAAAACATTTTGAGTGGAATATTAAAAAAAACTTCTAAATGACTTGCTAAAAATGTGTGCTAACAAGTTCTAGAATATTTTAGTAGCCCAATCAGTTAGGCGTATTCATTGTTCTATAGTTCAAATATCGGCCACAAACAATAGTGGACTTTAATACAAAGCTGTTATTTATTTTCAATTATTTTAGTAGACATTTTTAAGAAACCCATATTTCTTCATTTAAATTTTGTGAGACCTATTTTTTGTCAGTGCCATGCGAATTAGTTTCCCTATGCTAATATTCTAATGTAGTTTTTGTTAAAGGTCAATAATCAGAAATAAATGAATGTACAACTACAAATGTTTATTTACAGACACACACGTATATATATATACAGACAATGTACTATTTATTTATTAAAATATACATATATGTATGTATATTAGAATGGGTATTTTCTTGAATAATTATTGGAAAAAATCAGATAGTCAGAGGTATTATTTTGGTAATTTTTACAGGTCTGTGTATTTCAAAAATATTAGTCATATATTTTGAAGTTGGTCTAGGTCCTTTTTAGATTTTAGTACACATCTTGGATTTCTAGTACATTTTACAAAACATATAAGTTTTATTTTCTAACATGTTGACGGACACAAGCCTCAGACAAAATTAATACCACTTAACAAAATTGTTGAAACTAATCAAACACAATACATTAAATACCTCAATAGAAAAAATGAACTAAACCACTTTTAAAATAAACGACACATATGTAGCTTTGTAGGAGTTACTGTGTGCCGAGGGATTCAATTTTCGCTCTTGATCAAGGCATGATATAACTAATACGACTTGGAAACTTTGAATAAATTTGAATACTTTGTTAGCTTTAAAATTTTAATTTACAAATTTTCCAAATTTCAATGCACGACCTACTCTAATGTACACATAAACTGCACTCATATAATCACACACTTTCACACATTTTCACATTGGCAAACATTTTGGTATTCACTTGATTATTAGCTCGTTAACAATAGACATCCCGACCGACCGATAGGCTGACAGACATCACACGCGTTAAGTGGACATTGTTTTTTTCGGTTTGTTCTTTTAAAGGCTATATAAAAAAACACAAGAAAAGCCTTACAAGAAAATATACAAATTGTCACGCGTTTAAAGCGTCCAAAAGAATAAACCAGAACAAAAAAACCGTCTACACTTGGGATCTATTGAAATGGTTCGTACTTAACAATTTCTATAGATTAGTAGCAAGAAATGAATGACATTTATAGTATCAAAGATAGTTTTAATTAGTGACAAAACGAAGATAGTTAGTAACACTGTAAATATAGGCAAAAAATTATCTTTTATAGAATGTTATGTATTGTGTTAATTCTACGGAGGGTGTGGAAATTCTTTTGATTAGTAATACTAAGCGTGAAACGAAAGGAACATATTTTTAAAATGCTGAAATATTTTCGTGTGTATATATATTTTCTCTTCGAATATTTTATAGACGACTTAGGAGCTATATATATTTAGGTTTTATACAGATTTGTGTTCATAACCTAAAAAAAGTGTTTTTGTTTATGACTTAGGCGTATACATGATATAAAATGTCAAACAAAATATTAATCATACGCAAAATGTTAGCTTATATCCTTGTCTAATGAGTTCAAATGTTGAGTCGCTTATTTTGAAAGTGGTTTATGTCTAGTTTAGGTTCTGATACATATAATGGATTTTTAGTAAAGTTTACCAAACATTTTACGTTATATATTCGATCATGTTTAAGGAACAACGCCACACAAATACTTAAGTATTTTAATATAAGTAAAAATAGACTTAAACCACTTTTAAAATAAAGGACTCAATTTTAGGTTAGGTCGAAAAAGTGTCTTTTTGACTTAAACGGAGGTTAGTAATATGAGGACAGTTCAATAATATCATGATTTTATTATATAAAAAATAAAATACAGTAACTATTTTAATATTGCTCCAAATTCTAAGAGTTCCGTAATTTCTCTCGTGTTGAATATTTTTTTCATGCAAGCTAGTGGAGTTTTTTGAATAATTTAAAACAGAACCCAGCACCATAATTTTTCATGATTTTCCGTTTACAATCTATCTGCGTTTACGATTTTATATAAAAATTGTCAAATTTTCCCATAAGGAATCTCTTGAGAAAAACTCGACGATAAGTGGCACAAACAACCATGGATGATTTTATACAGAAAAAGTTGATCTACACTAAAAGAAATATTGTGAAAATCCATGTTACATATAAGAAAAAAATGTTGCTGGAAAATGAGGCTTATGACACTGTGCGAAAGATTTTGGGGGGTTGAAAATTCCTATTTGGGTTGAACGACTTTGGTGAGGAAAAAATCGTCATAGGTCAAAGTTCGGAGATATGGTGTAATCGTTTTGGCGTTCCTTTATACATGAAAATATATCTTCTTGAAAATATATCTTACATTCCTGCATTAAAATAGAATCAGAATTTTTTTGTAAAACATTTCGTTCTTCTAGTTCGCTTCCTTGTATGTCGTTTTCGTCCTTAACTTATTAAACCGGTTCCAATTATTACAAGATGGAATGTTTCATCCTCGCAAATATTCTACAAAACTGTTGCTCCCAAGATTTTAGTTGGAGCTCTCAAAGACGAGAAGCCGATATTTTAACGATTTCTTGATCTATTCTCAATCTTACCCGTTTATTGTCACTAAAACAATATATGTACACTGGTGTCCATAACTAAAGCAAATTGAATTGAAATTTGAAACAGAATAAATGATCTATAACTTAAAAAAAATAAATTTATTCACTTTTAACAAACAAAAACGTCATATTTTTTTGAAATAAAAAATATTCTATGGGCAACTAATTTCACCCATCTTTTTGATTTTGATTCTTACAAATATGTAAATTTTGCTAGTAATCGACAGCATAACCGTTATTTTTGATCACACCTACGAGACATTTAATCTATAAGATGCTCAATTTGATCCTTGGGTGTACTATTCCTCGCATCCTGAACCTTTGGGAAAATGTTATGTTTGACTATTTCTGAATTTGTTTTGATTTTGCTATCTATTATACTCCGAAGACTTTTCTATAGGATAAAGATCTGATGATTGTGTTAGTCATTATAAAACCCTGATTTTTGACTCAAGTTTCGATGTACGTTTCGGGTTTAAATTATTGACCCTCCTCCTTTTATTTTTTGACTTCCTCACGGTAATTTTTTCATGTCAGAGTTTTTAAATATTAATATTAATAAATAATTAATTCATCCAAGAGCATAATATTTCTCCAATGAGTCAGATTCCAAATAGTATGAGATTTTGCGAAATGCACTCTGTCATTGATGTTATATTCAACGATATCCCTCTCACCAATTCCATTGAACTTTTAAATGGGTATTTTTTTATTACAATTTGTTGATCAGTACGAACTGATGTTCTTTTGCAGCCATCCTCCGTGCTGAACTGTCACGTCTGATATGGTTTAAGAAAATTAAGTTATAATTTGAGAAATCACTGATTTATTCATTATTTTCACAATCCCTGGTAATTAGCTGTTTTATCGGTGAACTGTATTTGTTTCTGAAATACGTGTAGAATCCGAATGCAAAAATTGATACAATTCCCTTATTATTTATTTCAAAATGAATTTTGCATTAATGCTTTAGTTTTTTAATTGAAAAATTACACGAGTTAACTGAAAAAGCCAACACGATATCTTTATTTTTTAAAAAGTTTTGACCACCATTGTATGTAATTTTTTCTAAAAAGATCGAAGATTATATGTATATTTCTGATTTATTTCTTATTTATTTTTATAATTAACGCAAAAAATAGCAAAAGTAATATAGTCATATATGAAAATGCGTAATCGAACCATTCGCATGTCTGATACATTGTATATGTTTTATTTTCCATTTATTTACTGTTTTTCAATACGAAATTTTTATTAAGTCTCATAGACAATAAATAGGTAATTTCTATGAATATTGCGGATTTTTATTTGATTCTGCCTATAATTGCTCTATACCACGCATTTTAACGCTATTTATTCTATAATCATCCAAATACAATTCTATTTTTTTTCTTCCGGTGTATTTCATTGTTTCTTATGAATAGTTCTATTGTCAAGTCAACCGAAAAAATTAAATAAAAATAAAAAAAACACTTTAACTAATAAAAAACAAATTTATGAACACTCGTGATTTTATTGGAGGCGCTGACCATTCATTTAAATAAATGACAGGAATTTAGAACAAAAATGTAGAAGAGCTTCACGATGTTTTCTTTAGATATTTTCGATAAAAAAAAAAACAATCAAATGGTAGATTTTGTGTCAAAAAGAAGGGAAAATATGGAAAATTTCACGAAAAAAAAACAACAGAAATATTATGTGACGTATATAATATATGTATGTGTGTGTTTGTAACGCACACTCACACCTGTGACAATTTTTAAATTATTTGTTTATATTTTTGTGAAAATAAATTGCGTATCTTGTAATTTTCACTAATAGAGGTCAAGATGCGTTGTGAAAATTATGGGTAATTACAATCTAGATCTACACAAGGACCCTTCTTATGCAAAATGGTCCTTCACATTGTTCATTTAAGTTGCTACCCTTTTGTTTTAATACGGTAGCGTATTTGTTGTAGTTATCTAGCTTATCACCAACTATTCGCTATTCCGCACAACAAAAACTGCAAATGTGGTCGAAAGAGATAATGTAAAAGTTGCCTCTATTGATATTTCGTTTTCAAACGAAAAATAAACAATTAACAAGCTTTGCGAATATATATTGAAAGAAAAGAAAAAATCGAAACGGAATAAAATAAAATGAAACAACACAAAAAACATGACGCCAAATTGTAGATACCCGTAATAGTCATTGCATATAGTATAAGGACAACGAAGAGGGGTTAGATTTTTGGGTGCTGTTTGGGGGGCAAAAATTATACCAAATGTGCAAATAACAATTACAATATTATGCAATTGTTTGCATACAACGCAGTTTTTTGTTCATTTTAAATGCTACGTAAACGATATACGAATATATGTATATGTGAACACGAACAAGTGACGTATCTGCCAGTGAATATGATCAAAAATCTGTATATATGTATGTATGCAGACAAGTAAATATTCACGAGACCGGCATTTAAACAATGTATTTGACAGTTAATGTGAATGTGGCCGACAATAAAATATGTCATTATATAGAGAATAGGCATGTGTCTGTTTTCGGTAATTGTTTTTCAAAGGTCATAACTTTAAATCTAATCAGTGTGTGTTTTTTATACAGAAATATTACATGAGTATTTAGAATGTATTTTACTTGTCCTTTACAATATTGTATGAGTTAAGTCAGAATCTCTGAACAAAAATAGAATAGAAATTTTGCCAAAAAAAAAAAAAAAAAAAAAAAACAGATGTGATGCAGCAGGGTAGAATACGGTTGAAACTACAAGTATTTAAATATTTCGCGAAAATTGTTAACATTTTCATATTTATCTTTAAATTACTTAAATTACATCAATCAATTGTCATAAAGTTTGTTGTTGTATCCAGAATAGATTAAATTACACTTTTTGAAATATTATTTACCACTCGAAATATTTTTGCATTTCAACAAAATTGGTTGTTTCTCAAATTTTATTTTTATTTAAATTCAGAAAAAATATATAGCAGCTATTTATATAACTCATTATCTCTTAATCCAATTGAGGAATGATGATAAGGCAGGCAGTCAGACTGTTTACGACTATTAACGGACCAAAGTCGAGGGTTTTTATTGAAAGAGCACACCAGACATGAAAGTGAGGCTGATAACTATTTTGTGCAAATAGTTTTTTGTTATATGTATTAAAAAAGAAAAACTTAAACTAGGTCATAGCCGAGGAAAATCAGCTTTCAATGTCAAAGGAATCATCTTGAACAAATTTTAATTGGATTTATTTCTATGGACACGATATAATTTGGTGAATTTTTAAATTCATAATAGAAGGAAAAAGGAAACTATAATCGTCGGCCAGAGATAGCTTTGTATTCCATGAATTGTAGTGTTCGGTTCATAATTGTGATCTTCAGTTCCACCAGAAAACAGACTAAAATAAATGTTTTTGTCCATTTGAAAACAAAACATTTTCAAAATATACACTGGTGGCCAAAACAAAAGCAACTAAAATTGCAAACTGAATAACTTTTTTTTAAATTTTTAAAACTTATAGTTGAAGTTTATTCAGAAAAAATTATTCAATAAAAAAAAACCAAAAAAGTAGAAACGCAAAATTTATTTTGAAATAAAAAATAATCTATGGAAAATAAAATTGCCTCCAATATTGCTTGCTCAAAACTTAATTAACTTTTTTTGTTTTATAGCCTTAAATAAGTAACGATTATTTTTTATTACGGCAGCACACCTACGAGACATTGAATCTATAAGATGCTGAATTTGATCATTCCTTGCATCCTGAACATCTGGAAAGAGATTATGTTTGTTTATTTGTAAATCACTTTAGATGTTGGTATCTATTATAATCAATGTTGTGCAGCCTTGCACACCAGCTCTTAACATTTTCTGTGGTTAAAACCAAAAGATTCATTAACGAAAAGTTTTCTCAATGTTTTAAATTAAGTAGTTTTTTACACTTCCTGGGATGTTATTTATGTGTTAAAAAATATTTAATTACATTTTGCTAAATAATTCTTGTTTATATTTTCCCTTAACAATTTTTAAGAGAATTTTGCCCCACATTGATAATAACACCAATATATATATTTTATAGGGTTAAGATCTGCTGATTGTGCTGGTCATTACAAAA